ATCTTCTTCAGGGTAGGGTAGCAATTAGACAGCCAGAGTTTCAAACAAGATGTATAAACGACCAGAGAAGCAACCCTACCTGTGATTTTCAAAACAAGGGTGTGTTTGTCAGTATAATTTATTGCATGCTGCTTGTATTTTCTTTTGACTTAAACTATAGTTCAGAGAAATTATTATTATTATTATTATTATTATTATTTTTTATTTTTTTTATTTTTTTTATTTTTTTATTTTGTCTTTTTCTGTGTCCGGCAACGGATCGCAACCCTCAGTGTCGCCCCCGTACCGGACCAGGACCGGCAACGGGATCGCAACCCTCGGTGTTGCTCCCGTGCCTCGCTCAGCCAGTGAGCGGGAACCGGTCTGTATGTGGGATCCGAACCTTCGGCGGGAGCGCCGCCGCACTTCGAGCGCCACCGGGCCGGCCCCCAGAGAAATTATTTTTATAATACTAAAGTGCTGTGAGTAATGAAAAAACACTAATACCTAGAAAAAATAACTCTATGGATGATAGTTTTCTGACAGCATCAATGGTGCTATTTTGGCACTACTGGGCTCTGACTCTACTTTTAAATGTAAATGTATAAAACCAGACTGAGCTCATTATTATTTTTAGTAAGTTATATCTATGTTACTTTAAATAAGTGTTCTTTTAGTGTATTTTCATTTTTTGTTTACAGGTCATTAATTATTTGATAGTATTAGAAGCAGAAGTTAGAAATAAGGCCTTAAGTCCCAGTTGAAAAAGTTTCATCTAAAATTACAGGGTAAGTCAACAGAGAAAGAGTGTCAGTTTTCAAAACTTAGTGAGCACTTCAAGGGAGTAAAGGTAGACATCCTAAGGTATAGGACACATGCAAAATAATGACATATGATAATGAACAACATTAACGGCAATGGAAAGTTGTGATGAAAATCAAGTGGTATACATCTGAATTTGCTCTTATATCTGCCTACTATTCTGTTTAAAGCCAGTGAAATATATTTTCCTTAAAATGCTTGTTTATACTTCATGTGTTGATCAGATATTCAGTATATGCTATTTCTTTTGTAACAGAATTACCTAATTCTAGGAGAACGGAAATTGAGGCCATTCATGCAGTCTCAAAATCAGAGGTAAGGATAATTAAAGACTGATTAAGCTTAGACTTTTCTTTCCTTTTTTCCTTTTCTTTTCTTTCTTTCTTTCTTTCTTTTTTTTTTGTGGTTGGCCAGTGAGGGGATCCGAACTCTTGACCTTGCAGTAAGGGGATCCGAACCCTTGACCTTGGTGTTATCAACAGCTTGCTCTAACCAACTGAGCTAACCAGCCAGCCCAGATAGAAATGACTGTTACAAAAATCTATCATTATCAAGGATTTACTGTGTTCTAAGAGTGTGTTAAATTGCAGTAGTACTTTAAGTATAATATGAAGACTGTCATTCTATTTAATTTACAGCTTTTTAATTCCCAAACATTAAAATAACAATAATATTTGGATGCAAAGTAGTTAAGAATATAGGTATAGCAAATTAATTTTACCATTTTATTCATTATTGGTCAAGTGTCTAGTTGTGACTAGTTCTGGACATTGTACTTAATAGGGATGAGAAAAGCTTGGAAAAGAGTTCAAAGGAAAGCCATAAAGAAAATGAAAGGATTTAAAAGTAGTTTCTAGGGCTGGCCACCTGGCTCACTCAGGTGAGTGCGGTGCTGGGAGCACCAAGGTTGCGGGTTCAGATCCTATATAGGGATGGCTGGTGCGCTCACTGGCTGAGCATGGTGCAGACAACATCATGAAGAGGGTTGCGATTCCCTTACCAGTAAAAAAAGAAAGAAAAAAAAAAGTAGGTTCTATTGTAAAGGACTAAAGAAACTCAACTATTAACCTTGAGATAAGAACAGTGAGAGAACACTTAATAATTGTGTTTCAGCAAAAGATATTCTTAGAGGACTGTGGTAAGCATGTTTTCCCCTTAACCAAGGCCGTAAAAAGAGAACATTGAATTTAGCTATAAGAAAATATTTACTGACTAGCATTGTTGAACTCTGGTCTATGTTATCCAGGTGGGATTGTGGAATTTGAAAGTAGAGGGACCTCTCAAGAAGAACTACAGCAGTATTCTGCTTCAGTGCAAGATGGCAGTTTGGTGGCACTTAGAGATCTTAGCTAATACCTTAGTAATTACCTAATAAGTAAAGTAGGTGTGTTCCAGTGACAGTTTCTTTGTACGGCTGAGATAGGAAATCATTCCCACAGTTCTTAAAGAAATCCTGAGAAAGCACTCATTGACCCAGGTCCACCCAGAAAAATTAAAGGGCAGAGGTGTGTGTGGTAGCATTAGCTTTGGTTAATTCACCAGTGTACATTTTGAGAAAAAAATAAATAAGGTTAACCCGCTCAATGAATGTCTGCTCCGTATTGAGCTTGAGAAGGGAGAAAGAAGTCTTCTGTCCTTCTGTTGATCTCCGTTCTTTTAGTGCCTCTCATAGTGTTATCATTGGACTATAGTAAGTATGATTCTAGTGTTTAGAAATATTTGTTTTTGATAAAACACATCCAATTGCAAGCTAACTTTCTCATTTGGTGTTTATTCAAAGTACCATAAGCTACTCAAATACTAGAGGAAAAGAGATGATTGGATTTCCCAAGGGCTTATTTTCTAAGATAGTTTCGACTATACATAATTCTCGCCTTATGTGCTCACTTCACACCCTAACCCCGTATGTGACTGTACAGTATATCTGCTCAAGACTTACTGCTGTAAGAGGATAAGGTGTAGATATGGCTGAATATTTTATTTAGTAAGTTTTCATATAGACAGAGGGCAGTGTTTTTTTCAGAGGTTTTCCAAAGGAAATTAGATTTGCTTATAGATGTTAATATGTGTAGCTGACTGAATTAGTTAGGATTCTTTAGTTCCAAGTAATAGTAACCAGTGTAAGCTAACTTAACCTTCTGTATACAAAGAAAAACAGTTATCACATTTACTGTCTTGGTCCAATAGAGTATTTTAATATTTTTATATTAAGTCATTTTACAAGTAACTTACAGAAGTATGAATAAACTAATGGTGAAAAACCTTATTAGAAATTTTAATAATAATTTAAATATAGCAAATCCAAATTTTTATTTCATATTTTTCTGGTTTTGAAACATATACACACAAAATAGGCAGTGTTCTTCGAATTCAGTTAACTGCTTATTAACTCTTTTTTTGTGGTTTTTAAAATTAAATTTTTTATTGAAACATATCAATGGTACATGTTAACTCTTAAGCATAAATGAGAATGTTTCTATCTATCTTGTAAATACTGGTTCCAGATTTTAACTACTCCCCTAGTAGATTTTAGGTTATCATTACTTCTAATTCTTTTTTTTGACCTGTAAGGGAATCGCAACCCTTGGCATGGTGTGGTCTACACCACGCTCAGCCAGTGAGTGCACTGGCTTTCCCTATATTGGATCCGAACCCGTGGCCTCAGCGATACCAGTGCTGCACTCTCCTGAGTGAGCCACGGGGCTGCCCCCTTTAAAAAAAAATTTTTTTAAATCATAGTCTAATTCTTGACTTGTGTCATTAAAACTGACAGTTTTGAAAACTTTAGTGGCTCCTGGTTTTTTAAAAAATTTAATCATAATTGATTATACATGTTTTGGGGATTCTGTGTTGATCAAATCAATATTACTAGTATGTGTATTGTTACAAATTGTACTTGTTCTTTATGCCTCTTGTCCAATCTCTCCCTATCCCCCCTCCCTCCTCCCTCCCACCACTGATAACCCTAGATTTCTTCTCTCCCTCTGAAAGAATAATGGTTACTCAGATGATCTGTCCAATACTGACAGGTGGGTTCAGGTCCCCTAATATTATCATAGAGCAGATGCTTCTTCTCTCACTCTGGAATGGGCTTTGTGAAGAGAGACATCCTCTTTTTTTTTTTTTTTTTTGGTCTCTGCTGGTGACTCTCCTTGTTTCAATGCACTCCAGTGGCTGGTGGACCATCTATGTGGTGGTTATGGCATCTAGCCACTTTCGCAGCAACCACGGTAGCTGTGGTGGGCCACCCACATGGAGGTGATGTTTTTGGCATGTTCCTTGGCACTGGCGGTGTGCCTGGTTGTGGACAGGGGTCTGGTCTCTGGCTCCATTCCCCAGGTCCCCTGATGGTCCCAAGGCGGTGGTGGTGTTCCTGGGCAGGAACTAATATTTGTCCTTTGCTTACTTCTAAAACAGGCAAACTTTCTGTGGGAACTAGTACTTGACTAGTTGTACTAAATTGCTGCTTTGCTGCTGTTTCCCTAGGGAAGGCTTTTTGCGCAGCTCAGGGTTTAATGGTTGACCTTATAGGTACTTCTGGCTCTCCAGAGACCCAGTGCACCTGGATTGTGTAGAAGGTCTGATCTGGGCCTGAATCTTGTCATCAAACTGCACCCCATGCAATTCTGCTTTCCTGACCAGTCTCTGAGTGGTCCTGTGCTGACTGGGGGTCTGATTGGCTGTCCTTGCTGTGTCCCAGTTTTCTCCTGGTGGGCCCATCCCCCCCAACCACACTTCATGTGCGATGGGTCCTGCACGGGTCTCATGTGATGAATTAATGGCCTCTTAACGGCTCCCCTTTTTCAGCTGTTCTGGCTCCTTGCTCCTGTGTGGGTTTATGGGAATCCTATTAGTGGTCTTGTTGTCCTGGGGGCCACCAAGGCCCTCTTTTCCTCTGCCACCTCCAAGTAACTCCATCTGAAGGGCACTGCTGTGGCTTCTACCGGCTCCTGCTCCATGTGCTCAGCAGTTCCAGCCTTTAAGGCTGCTGTGGCCTGAAATCCTCCAAGCAGTTTTTCTTTCTCTCATTGTGGCTTCTCCCCTTTCATGAACTCCGTAGGTCTCTCCTCCTCTTCCCCTGAGCTCCAGTGGCCCCAGCTTGGCTGTTGTTGCATTTTTATAGTTGTAGATTGGATGATTTGTGGGAGAAAGTCCTTATGATTTTGTTGATCAGACAATGGCTGTCATCTTTGCTCCATAATTAAAAAGTATTTTTATTCTTATATTTACAAATACCAATTAGAGTGATCAATCCATTGAATTATTTTCATTTCTGTATCATCTGTTTCCTCCTAGTCATCTTTGTATACACACCGGCCTTCAGCATTTGTCCATGAATGAACTGAATCAAGTAAATGTTGGAGTACAAATGTTATACTTAATGAAAGAATACTGTCACATATTCATTTAGCAAAATGGGATGATTCAGGTCCTTGTCATAAAGTATTGCAGAATAAAATACTTTCTTATTGAATGGCTAATGTGAAAATCATATTTCCTTTTTGTTCTTAGAAATATATTGTTCAGGGCCGGCCCGGTGGCGCACTGCTACAGTGTGCCGCTTGTGAGCACAGTGGCGCTCCCGCCGAGGGTTCGGATCCCACATACAGACCGGTTCCCGCTCACTGGCTGAGCGAGGTGTGGGAGCAACACCAAGGGTTGCGATCCGTTGCCGGACACAAAAAAAGACAAAAAGGAAAAAAAAATGAAATATATTGTTCTTTCATCAGTTCTTGAGTTTGAGAAAATTTCATTTTGATATTGCCATCTAAAGACTTGTTTGAGATTTTGCCTCTAGTCAGTTTCACCATTAGACTCTAGAGTGCTGCTTTCTGTCTCTTTGCATTCATCTTCAGAGTTGTCTAGTGGTTGTGAAATGTTTTCGTCAGTTTATTTTTCTTTGTCGAAAAACAAAAAATTCTGAATTTCAACTGTGTTCAATGAAAGCCAAAAAAAAAAAAATCCCTCCAAAGATATCTCAAAACTGCTGTTTACTTTTATAAAGATGATGTCATACTTAGGGCAATGTGAACAGAAAACTGGTTATTTCACTATTACTATTATTATTATTTCGTGATTCTTCTAGTTGATTCTGTAAGTCTTCCATTTTCTTATTATTTTAGTCTTTTTCAGCATAGTTGGGAATAGTTGATAAATAACGATAAAATAAATCCTAGGATAATAAAATAGCAAAATGTTTCAGGATACAGAAAAAACAAGATCATTACAATCCCATGGATTATTCTTAGATTTATGAGAGGATCCAATGTACCATTATGGTAATTGCAAGGTGGAATGAATTTTATTCTATTTTAAAAAGTAGGTAAATTTTTTGATTGTTGGAAGACCTTTAAGAAAGAGTAATAGTTATTAATATCAATTCTTACAAATAGGACTGCTTTAAAAAGAAATTAAAGTTGGTACGAGTGGACCATGATAGTTTACCAAGCATTAAGCAGGATGAAATATTTTAAGAATATAAGTGTCTCTGGACTCCAAGAGCAGAAATGTAGGCACACTTTAGGAAGGGGCTGCAACTGGAAATGGAGGCCATCAGGAGTCTTTTTTTCTCATTTATATTCTTCTCTCTTCGTCGTGTGTATTTATTCCTTTTTCCTTTCAGCCCAGCCTCCTCTGCTACGTATTCCCTGTGATAGAAAATATGACCCCAGACAACTCTTAATACATTACAGGTTCAGCCAGATAAGGAGAATCTGTCCTTTATGTGTCTTCTCAACCTTTCTGACTCTCATATGATTAGGGAGATGAGGGCAGACAACCAAGTAGGTATTGACCAAATTCAAAGTTCTAGTTATTAGTCACAATTAAATAACCTCAGTTTTTGTGTGTGTGTTAAAAAGCCTAAAGTGGACTTTTATAGCCAGATTTTGACTTCAGTATATTGTGTTATTCATTTATGTATGTTTTTCATATTAACAGCTCTCAGAAAATCATGCAAAAGCAGCCAGTAGAATAGAAGGTAATTAGCTGTGTGACCATTGGTCCTGTGTCTTACTACTACTTCTTCAAGATAACCGAGGTCTGTGTTAGATTTCTGGGGCTAGAGTCCCAAACTAAGGTTTGTGGATGTTGTAATTATTCCTTTGATTTACTCCATTCGTTTTCACTGGAAATTCATGAAATATTCCTAGACCGTAGTTTTCATGGCTGCTGACATCAGAAGTTCCTAGAATCTAAGAGAAAAACAGATGACATCCCAAAGGTGAAAAAGTCATCATCTTCTGGCAGCTTCTTGCCCACCGTCAGTCTCCTTTTTCTCAGTCATCATTGTTAAACTGTGTAGATATATTAGAATGCTTAGTAAATTATCTGTAATAACTTTTAAATTCTTTTTTGCAGAGAGTTTTAATGTTTATTTCTCTTGTCCCATTATATTCTTATTATGTTCATATTATGTTCATGACAAGGAGTGATAATAGGTTAAGATAATATTTATGTACATAAAATTTGAGTAATTTTTTTCATGTTTTCCAACATCTTAAAACAAAAGACTATGTGTAATGTCTAGAGTCACTGAATTATATTTTGACTATTTTGCATACTTTTAACAGTAGTTTTTCAGACAATCCCAGTAGTGATTTTTAAATTGGATTTTTCAGAGGTGCCTCAGGGAGTCTGGGAAACAAGGCAAGTAGGTAATGTGAGGCTTTAGCCTCCTACCTGTAATTCGGCCAGAAATCTTTTTTAAAAATATGTCTTAAAAAAGTTCTGCTGCTTGGGGAGAAAACAGAAGCTCAAACAGGTAATCTATTCATTCATTTACTAGACATGTGTTATATGCTAGACATTGGGTATGTAAAGATGGGAGAAACATCAATCAGCGGCTTTTCTTAGCAGAAAATCAAACTCAGCAAAATGTTAATTTTCCCCCCTTGGTTTAGAATTGGGCATATTCTGTATAAACATGCTTATGCATTTGTGTAATTTGAAAGTATATTTTAAAGGCCATAATTCTGTCTGACACCTTTTATATTTTTACATCATTTTTTATATGAAGCAATATATTTTTCATAATGCCATGCACATAACTTACAGTCTTTTTGTTGAAAATACTTTTTCTTTGCTTTCTAGAATGAAAGACTGAAAAAACTTTGTACTGATCTGGAAGACAAACATGAAGCCTCAGAGCTTCAAATAAAGCAGCAATCTACAAATTACCGAAATCAACTACAACAGAAAGAGGCAAAGATTTTTACAGTTACTTCGTATTCATTACTGTAATGTATTTAGGAAGGTTTTTAAGACTTATAATATAAATCAAGCTATCTTGATCCATAAAAATATTGAAAGGATGTTGAATTTAATAATTCCCGACTTATTTTGATAATACTAATTTAACAAGAACTTTCTCAGCTTTTCTACTAAGTTTATATTATATACACTGACCTTTGTGGACTTTAATTTCTACTTTCCAAAAGAAGAAAAGTTTTTATGTAAAATGTCTTCAGGCATCTGTTGCTTGTAATTTCTGATTTTATGAAACTTTAATTTGTCATATTTTCTTAAGTTGTTTTAAATCAGTGTGGTTATTTCTAATGACTTTTTAAAATGCTTTTGATTACAAGTGTTATTATTTGTTGTATTGGCATGAGTTTGATTTTCCGTGGAAAAAGAATATGAAATATAATTATACTGTTTTATAAATGTTTTTGTTTTCTTTTAGTTTGACTGAAGTGGTTGTTTTGAAATTGGCTTATCTTTTCTTTGCACTGCTGGTAATAGATATTGTATGATATAACCACTGTTATCCCCAATCCTTAAAATGTAGACTGTGTCCCCAAGTGTCATACTGTTATTGACTTCTCTTTAGTGTTTAGTACATAAGTGGGGTCCAATAAATACTTATACTTGTGTTGAATTTAACCATTTTATTAGCCAGATCATTTGGGTGTTTTTCAGTTTGTTGATTTAAATGTTCATGTCTACCATAACTTCATATTTAGGTGTGTTAAATTTAGATATATTGATTTCTAGTACCTTCAGTGACATGATAAGGTTAAAAATAAAAGTATACCACATTAAAGATAAATATAAAATTTAAAATAGAGCTTAATTTTTTAATCTATTGGGAATTTGATAATTTCAAAATACAATAAAGATAAATTACTTCAAAAATAAAATGAATACAGAAAAGCAAAGATACAAGTTCAAATTAAAATTACAAGCCCACTTACTGCCAAATTGCTTTTAAACTCTTTAAAACCTACTCATTGATTTTTGTATTTATGGACTGGTAGCATACATTCATGGCATAAGTCTATGGACCACACTTTGAGTAGCACTGACTTATAGACATTACAACAGAATAGTAGTTCCTACCCAGGGCTTTACAGCTGAACCATTAGTGACACTTAAAAATGCACATGCTTATGCCCCCAGGAGATGCAGATTTAGTGTACTGGGAAGGGGCCCTGGTACTGGTAATTTTCAAAAGCTCCATAGATGATTCTGATGCTTACCCCAAAGTTGAAAACACTGCTGTGGGAAATTTTGGCTTTTTATTTTCTACTTAACTATTGATATTAGAGAGCACATTAAGCATTCAAGTTTGCAAATGTGTCTTTGTTATTAGAGCTTGCACTGTGTAACTCTACAACTTGATATAAATGTCTGTTGTATAAGGACAACTTTTTGTGTTATAGCCACATCTAAAAAAACCTGTGTATTTCAGTACTTTTTACTAGGATGAAAGCTAATATGTGACTGTATAAAACTGCTCTTTTCTGAATCTATTTGCTGCCCTCATTGTGATGTTCATATTCCTCCAAAATGCAATTTATTTCATATCATTTTTGAGAAGATGAATGAAATTTGTGTACTACTCTGAATCTCCCTTAGGGAAGGGTCTCTAATATGAAAAACCTGTTTGTTATGACATATGACATAAATGTGTTTGGTTTTTGTCTAATTGCTTAACTTTACTCATGTAGAAATACTGTTACTTGTTGGCTGTTTTTTCAGTATCACATTTTCCTCACTTGTGGCAGAGTGTCTTTTGGACTAGTTTGAGTTCTTCATAAAAGGCTTCTGACAGTTCTCTCTAGATTACTCACTTGTGCTTTTAGTAATCTTTCATTTCGAATGGATGTGGCATTATGGTAGATTCTGTGTTCATAATTTCTTTGAGGCTGTGACTTGGTATCCAATACATAAACTGACACAGGTTTCATTTTCTTATCATTTTAAGGTTTGATAATCACAAACAGAACCCTAAGAAATCACCTATAGTACCCCATACATAGACGATAGCAAACCCACGTTTAACTGAGAAATTCATTGCTTTAGTTAACATGTGAGTGAAATTCTGATCTTATACCATTTGAAACATTAATTGTGATTTCACTCTGGTGATCATGTTTGTTTTTTAAATAACCATGTTATGGATAGGATGTTATAGAAGACATGGGTTCAGTTAACAGTACCATTATTTGATAATCTTAAACAAATTATTATGCCTCTTAATATTATTAATTTATAAAAAGGTTAATATGGTTATTTTAAAGTACTTTCTCTAAAACATGGATTATAAATATATAGGTAGAAATCAGCTACCATAAAGCAAGACAGGTTACGCTACAGGATCAGTTGCTGACACTGCAGTCAGCCACTCAGTCAGTACATTCAGGAGCTGGTGGTTTACCAGCAACCACTGCATCTTCATTAAGTTGTGGAATCAGTCATCATGCCTCAGCTTTCCGTGATGATCACATGGACTTTGGAGATGTTATTTCATTACAACAAGAAATAAACAGATTGTCAAATGAAGTTTCAAGACTCGAGTCTGAAGTTAGCCATTGGAGGCATATTGCTCAGGTAGCTAAAATTTTCATGAGTTTTTGAAAATAGTGAGTAAAAATACTGATGTTATATGAATAGATATATAGAGAGCTCTTGGTATTAGAAAGTGCTGTGGGCTAGGAAATAGAAAATCTGTACTCTAATTCTGCCAATGACTTTCTTTCTAAGTGATTTCAGTCAGGTCGTCTTTCTCTTTCAGCCTTAGTTTTCCCTTCTGAACAATATTTGGAAAAAAGTTTCCAAAAAGAATTTAAAGAAACAGATCCATTTTTAAAAAATAAAATAAAAAATTTCAAGTCCAGGACTTAAAAGAGATAAAAATTGAATTGTTGTTGATTGAACCAGCACCTTTTCCACTGGAGTCCCTGAAGGCTTCTCTGGTGGAAACATCAGGAGTCTGAAGCACTGTGTTTGATACTGCTTGCTTAGATGGTGTCTTAGGTTTCTTTTAGCTCTAGGTATGTGTAAAGTGAAATCTGGTGATTGGATTATAAAATAAGTTAAACTATTTTGTGTTGTTTCTCATGCATTAGAAATTAAATCCTTGCTATTTGGGGCTGTAAACTTTCTCCCAAGGAACACTATATTTTTACATATTAGAGTTAATGGAGTTTGTCAGTAGACATGAGACTTGGAATAAACCTGAGCACTGTTCATTTGGATTTAATTTTATGAGTGTAGAAAAAAACAAAGTATTTAAATAGACTATTTTTCTATCTTTTTGTGAATTTAATCTAGTTATGAAAGGGAGAAATCATCCCAATTAAAATGATCTCTTTCTCAAGTTGCTAGACAATCCCAGTACCCAAAATAAACCTTAGAAAGGCTGATTTGTTTGCCCATCTTATCTCCAAAACGTAGTAGTTCTTAAACTTTGTATCTGTAAGAATATCCTGGGGAACTTGATATTGTAGATTCCCTGGCCTGTCTTCAGAGATTTTGATTTAGTAGCCTTGGAAAGTACATTCAAACAAATAAATACCCCAGGTGATTCTGATGATCTGAGGAACACATTTGAAGAAACACTGCTTAGGTAAGATTTCAAAGGGAAGTGATGGGTTTTTGTTATGTTCACTTTAGCATATCTTAAATGTTTTACTGTATGACAGATCTGTGCTGAAATATAAAGGTGAAATAAATTGGGACCTTTCAAGGCTTAATTTTCTAGCAAGGCATAATAAAAATTATTTGTATTACACTTTACAAGATGCTTCCATATTTATTATCACAATACATATTATGTTATCCTGATAACTATGTGACAAATTTATTACCTCTACTTTGGAGATAAGGCAACTAAAAATTAAAGTAATACACCCATTTTCACAGTGATTAAGTTATGATTCAAAAACGTCTTTTGACTCCAAAACCTGTGTTCTTTCCAGTATACTGTGTTCCTTCTTTCAGCCCTAGAGCAGCTTTTAGTTTATTAACATGCTATATAGTAAATGTTAATGAACATAAATGACCAACATACAGCTTTGAATGAGAAGAATCCAAAAGTTATTTAATTTACTTGTCATACCAAAAATTATTCTGTCTTGGAGTAGAGATCTTTTGGGTAACATCATTTAAAAAAGGTTTTTACTTGGATCATTATTAGCATTAATATTGGGTAATTTCTATTTTAGACATTTCCTTTTAAAAAGCTGGTCAATTATCCTCATATTTGCATTTTGTTAAGCTAAATAAAATATTCTATCATTTTTTCTTCTTAACATTAGCTATTTTATAAAACCATTGTCTCTCCAATCAGTTAACAAATTCTCAAATATGATACCTTTTATTTATTGTGTATTGCTATTGTACTAGGTTCTTTAAAAGGTGCTTGGCATTCATTAATCATAATCTGTCTGAGAAATGCCCCTTTATTGAAAAGTATCTGTTAATAAAGTTACTTTGCAACTTCCTATTTGAAAAAGAAAATCAGTGTAATTATTTTCTAATTCTCTTTTTCTGATCTAGACTTCTAAAGCACAAGGAACACATAGCTCTGATCAAAGAGAAATCTTCAAACTGCAAAATATCATTAAGGTAAGTTAGATTGCTGATTCACAGTTGTTATTATACATCTAAAATCTTATTAATAGCATAAGTGTATTGTATTAGTCTGTTTTGTATTGCTATAACAGAATACTTGAAACTGGGTAATTTATAAAGAAAATGAAATTTATTGCTTACAGTTTCTGAGGCTGGGAAGTCCAAAGTCCATCTGATGGTGGCGACAGTGACCCGGGGTCTCACATTGCGAGATGGTGGAAGCAGAGAGAGCAGAGAGAAAGACAGACTCTCCTCTTCTTTTTAAAGCCCTCAGAACCACATCCCTGACCACCATTTTTAATCCATTCCCTCCAGCATGGTCCTACAATCCAGTCACCTCCTCAAGGCTCCACCTTTCTATTACCATAATAGGATTTCCCACCCTCTTAACAGTCACAGTGTGGGCTAAGTTTCTAATACATAAAACTTTGGGGACACAATTCAAGCTTCAGGGAGTTTTGGGGGGACGTAATTCAGTTCACTACATTCCACTCCTGGCTCCCCAAAACTCATGTCCTTTTCACATACAAATACATTCATTTCATCGTCAAAGTCTTAACTTGTTTCAACTCAAAAGTCCAAAGTTCAAAGTCCCATCTGTGAAATTCAAAACAAGTTATCTACAATGGTGGGACAAACAAAGGGTACATATTCCCATTCCAAAAGGGAGAAATAGGCCAAAAGAAAGGTGTGACAGGTCCCAAAAAAGTCCGAAACCCAGCAGGAGGTCATTAAATCTTATAGCTGGTGAATGATATACCTTGATTCTATGTTCGGTGTCCTCTGCATGCTGGTGTGCGGGTTGTGTCCCCAAGTCCTTGGGAAGCTCTGCCCCTATGGCTTTCCTGGTTGCAGGCCACATTTCAGCTCTACGAGGCTGGGGTTCCACTTTGGTAGCTCCACAGGTCTAGGGCCTCCGTGGTGGTCCCGCTCTCCTGGCTCCAGTAGGCATGGAGCTTTTCGGGTTTTTCTGCTGCAACTCTGACCCCAAATTTCCACTTAGCATTGCTTTAGCAGACTCACTGCAGTGAATCTACTCCTATGACAGATCTCTTCCTGGGGCACCCAGACTTTTCCATACATCCTCTGAAATTGGGGTGGAGACTCCCAAACCTCCACAGCTCTAGCATTCTGCAAGCATGCAGACCTAACACCATGTAGATGCCGCCAAGGCTTCCAGCATGTATTTTCTAAACCTGCAGGTCTAGCTACACCCAGGGCCAATTAAGCGATGGCTATGGCAGCCACAGCAGCCAAAGCAGCCGGGGGGCTGGTGCTGGAAGCAGCTTCCCGTGATGGCCCTGGGCAGTGAGCCTCTGGAGGGTGCCTCAGGCCTGTTAGTAAAAGCCTCAGTTATGAAATTATATTTGTTTCTTTCTTAATATTTTGTATCCTCTTTATTTTTTATGACAAGTAAGGTATATAAAAATCTCTTTTGAAAATCTTTTTGTGTGTGTGTATTTGTGTGTGGCTGGCCACAGGGATCCAAAATCATTTGATTTTGAACATTTATTAGTTAGTTTATATTTCATAAGTCTACATTCAACTGTTATCTCATAAAACTATCTTTATTAAAACAGAATTCCAAGGTTATTGAAGTTTCAAGATGTAAGATTAAAGGCTATTGACAAAATAAAATGCTAATATTATGCATTTTAAATAATTATTTTTACTTTATTTGTAAAATACTTTATTGCTACTTTGTGTCAATTATTATATTTCTTTTAAGATAATTCTTAGTTACATATATTTATTGTGTCAATGAATTGTTTTCAGTGTCTAAATTATTGTCAGATACAGAATTTTTAGTTTTGGCTTTTATTAGTATTATTATTTTTAAAAAAATTTTTATTGACTCAAAATTGATTATACATATTTTTGGGATTCAATATTGAGATATGTTATTGAAACCAATATTACGAGAATATATATTGTTACAATTCGTAATTATTCTTTATGCTCCTTGTCCAATCTCTCTCCATCCCCCTCTCCCACCCCCTTCCCCCTCTGATTACCCTAGATTTCTTCTCTCCTTCTGAAAGACTAATGGTTACTTTGTTGATTTGTTGCCTAGATGATCTGTCCAGTGCTGACAGGTGTGAGCAGGTCCCCCAATATTATCATAGAACAGACAGTTCTTCTGTCACTCTGGAATGGGCTTTGTGGAGAGAGACATCCTCCTCCTTTCTTTATGTCTGTTGATGACTCTCCTTGTGTCAGTGCACTCCAGGGGCCAGCAGACGGTCTGTGTGGTGGTTGTGGCATCCAGCTGCTTTTGCAATAGCCATGGTTATTTTAGTGGCTGTGGTGTGCCACCCACATGGAGGTTATGTTTTTGGCATGCTCCTTAGTGCTGGTGGTTTGCCTGGTTGTGGGGAGTGTCTGGTACCCATCTTCATGCCTTGGGTCCCCGACTCCATGCCTCAGGTCCCAGGGTGGGCCCTGAGGAGCTGGCATTGTGTGCCTGGTTGTGGGAGGGGGTCTGGTCCCCACTCCATATCCCGGGTCCCTGGGTGGGCCCCAAGGTGCTGGCACTGTATGCCTGTTCATGGGCGGGGGGTCCGTTCCTCTTCTCCATGCCTCAGGTACCTGAGTGGGCTGTGAGGTGCTGGCGGCAGGCCTGGATGTGGGAGTGGGGTCCAGTTCCTGGCTCCAAGTCTTGGGTTCCCAGGTTGGCCCCAAGGCACTGGCTGTATGAGTGGGTGTGAGTGGGGGTCCTGTCCCCATCTCCATGCCTCACGTCCCCAGGCATGCCCCAATACACCGGTGCTGTGCCTTGGCCAGAACTAATTTTTCATCCTTTGCTTACTTCTAAAATGGGGGAACTTCCTGTGGGAACCAGTACTTGAACTCCGTGGTTGAGCTAAATTGGTGCTTTGCTGCTGTTTCCCTAGGGAAGGATTTTTGTGCAGCTCAGGGTTTAATGGTTGACCTTACAGGTACTTCCAGCTCTCCAGAGACCTGGTGCATCTGGGTTGTGTAGAAACTCTGACCTGGGCCTGCGTTTTTTCATCAAACTGCACCCCCTGCAATTCTGCATTCCCGACCAGTCTCCTCTGAGTGGTCCTGTGCTGATTGGGGGGCTGATTGGCTGTCCTTCCTGTGTCCCAGTGTTCTCCTGGTGGGTCTGTCTCCCCCACCACCCATGCTTCAAACACTTCCCATGGGACGAGCCGTGCACTGGTCCCTTGCAATGACTCACTGGCCTCTGAATGGCTCCTGTTTTTCAGCTGTTCTAGCTCCTCACTCCTGTGTGGGTCCACAGGAACCCTATTAATGGTCTTGCTGTCCTGGGGGCCACCAAGGCCCCCTTTTCCCCTGATGCCTCCAAGTAACTCCATCTGAAGGGCACAGCTGTGGCTTCTGCTGGCTCCTGCTCCATGCACTCAGCAGCTTAAGCATTAAAGCAGCGATGACCTGAAAATCTCAGAGCAGTTTTTTCTTTCTCTCATCGTGGTTTCTCCCACCTTCATGAACTCCGTAGGTCTCTTCTCCTCTGCCGCTGAGTTCCAGTGGCCCCAGCTTGGCTGACGTTACATTTTTATAGTTCTAAATTGGTTGATTTGTGGGAGAGAGTGACGCTGGGGACTGTCTATTCCACCATCTTGACTGGAACTTCCTGCTTTTATTATTATTACAAAACTTGTTTGGGGGGATTCCAAAGTCTGACCTGTGTTTGAATGTTCATTGTGCTATTTACCATCTGTGTTACTTTGGGCAAGTTACTTAACCTTTCCAGGCTTCTGTTTCATCATCAGTAAAGTAGATGTCATCATAATACCTACCTTGTAGGAATGTTTTGAGGTTTAATTAATTAATTAATTAATTAATTAAAGGTTAAAATATATAGCTGTTAGCCCAGTCCTGGCACATAAATAAGTGCATATGATTAAAGAATACCTATACTGATTTTCTCAGGAAGTAGAAGCTAATTTATAGATTAGGATTCTTGGTTAGCAGCAAAAACTATCTCTAGCTAAGTAAAGGAAAAGAGGATTTACTGCAAGGACCTGGTGTAGTCCATCCATAGGACTGGAGGAAGAGATGAGTATTCTCGCCACAGGGAGGACAGGAGTGGGGACAGTGCCAGGAATCTAGGTAGTGGAATACAGCAGACACTTTCTTGAAGGTGCAGCTATCATAAAGCTTCCCATGCAACCAATTTCTCTCTTTCAAGGACTCAGCTCAAGATCTAGGTTCCTGGGAGAGACACTGGTCTTCCCAACTTTGGTAGCAAGGCATCTTGGTTGACAATTTGGAATTCCCATCAAGACTGGTAGATAGAAAGGCTGAGTGAGAGGATGGTGATAGTAGGATAACATACAGATTGGTCAGAGGGTTGATAGCTGGTATTGGTGGAATATGTCATTAGGAAAAGATATTTTTGCTTATCTTTTGTTTCAGTGTTTTCTTGCTGGTGTTCCCTCTTTAAAAGTAGATAAACTGTTTTTAAGGCCTAAGAAGGGAAAGGGTGTAGTCTTTCAGAATTGTCCTAATTTGGGGCCTGTGTTTAAATTCTTTTCAGGCTTGACATATTCAGAGAATTATTTTTAGTAAAATGGACTTTCAGACAACAGTAAAATAAGTAGCTTAGGTAAATTTATTGATCATAAACATGGTTAACTTTGTTTTTGTTTTTTAAGGAACTTAAACAGAACCGAAGTCAGGAAATTGATGAACATCAACATGAAATGTCAGTATTGCAGAATGTACATCAACAGAAATTGACACAAATGCATCATCAGTATCGAGAGGAATTAAGCTATTATGCAGAACGAATTGAAGAACTCAAAAACCTGTTACAAGAAGGTTATTAGTTTTATTAATTTAACATATTAGATGACATACTTAAATGACAATTCTAGCACTCTGAGACCAGGACACTGCTATAAATTTGCACTAAGTTCTAAAGAATGAGTAAATGACTTGCTCTTCTTGTCTGCCAGAAATTTGCTATGGCACCACTACTTTCAAGATTTTGCAAAAATGGAAAGGTCAAGGTCCTTTTGCATTTGTGGTAAATAGTTATAATTCATAGATTTTTTTTTTTTGCATTGTTTGGTGGTCATATTTTACTTTCTTTCAAATTCAGGTACGTAGGTTTTTTAGTAGTTGATTCAAATCCTGTGTTTTTCCAACTTTTTATTTATTTAAACATGCTTAGTTTATTACAGTAATTTAATTTTTCTTTTTAAGTTTTTCAAGTTCTGAACTCTTAAATCTTAGTTGTAAATAGCAAGCTATTTATTTCTTGATTCTTAATATTTGATATCCTTGACTTTATCCATATTCTAGGTGGCTCAGGAGTTACAGGAACTGATCACTCTAAAATCTATGAGGTACAAAAAACTATTCAAGTTCTACAAACTGAAAAAATGGAATCTACAAAAAAAATTGAAGAACTTGAGGATAAAATAAAAGACATAAATGAAAAATTATCCTCTGCAGAAAATGACAGAGATGTTTTAAGGAGAGAACAAGAACAACTAAACGTGGAAAAGCGACAAATAATTGAAGAATGTGAAAGCTTGAAACTGGATTGCAGTACATTGCAATCTTATGCTATGAAGCAAAGTGATTGTGTGAAAGAAAAGGAAAGAATTCTTCCACAGAGTACATCAGTGGAAGAAGTGGTCACACTACAAGAAGCACTGCCTGGTATAAAATGTTTGGAACTTACTTCAGGCTGGTATTTCATTGCACACTAGTTGTTTTTAAACACGTGAATAAATGAATACTTCTTGGAAATGGAGT